GGAGAAGCATATAACATTAGTTTGGTTCAAATCAACATTTTTTAAGGTTCTAATATAGTGTCACAAGCTATACTGTTAGTGAGTTAGTATTTTGAAATGAGACATTGTATGTATGTGCATTCAATGTAATATGCAAATAATGCCTCTTTAGGATAAATAAGAAAATAGCCTGTGATTCATTAATTGATAATTAACACTGTATATAAATGAAGTAAGATTCAAGATGATACCATTCTTATAACTTAGAACCATGTTTTTCATCATATCTAATGTTTATTAATCTAAGCCCTAATTTTGACTTTGGATTAATTAAAATAGAGTAACTCGATATAATTCTAATATGATCACTTTGGGTATCAAGGAATAATATATGACATCTTAATATAATTTTATCTTAACAAGTATTGGAGAAAAGTGGATCAATAGCAACAGCATCTAGAAAACATTTCATTAATTTTAAAGAAAATCTCATTAAAGCCTTCCATCCAGAGAACTAATTCATATACTTTATTGCACTTTTCTAATATATTCTCTTAAAATAAGTAATAAAATTTTGTAAGACTGGCAAGCCTCAGAATGATAATAATTAAGACTCTGAAGGTGTTAGAAAAACAACCAAAATTAAATTTAGTATGATATTGACTGAACATGATAAACCAATTTTTGTCATCAATGGAATATCACAAGCAGAGAATTTTCACTTAAAACTTTCTTATTCCAATTTTCCTTCTGTCAGCCTTATCCTCATTTTTATTTCTTTTGATAGCAAACCTTGCCTATCAGAACCTTTTGATCAGAACCTTGCCTATACCTATTTTTATTCTCATCTCCTATTTGCTCTCCAACCTGCTGCCATCTGGCTACTGGCCACATAATACTTATATTTCTTGAGTGATTAATATTTGTTAGGAATGGTGCTAAGCAATTGACATGTACTATCATCTTTCCTAACAGCCATCTTAAAGGTAGGTATTAGGAATTTTATTTTGTTTATATTAAAGTTACTACAGAAAAAGTCACTTTATTCCTCAGGACTCTTTCATTACTGATAATAGAAACAAACTTAAATTTCTATAAGTAAAGCCAATGTATTGGGTGATGCAACTGAAACTGTGTAGGGCTTAATGTTGATTTCAGACAGGTCAGGAATTTCTTTCTCTTTCCCTCTCTTGGGTCTGCTTTTTATACGTTGTTTTTATTCTCAGGCAGGAATTCTCCACACAATACTAAAGATTGCCAATATTAGATGTAGGCTTTTATTTTACCAACTTGTCAATCTCAATAAAAAAATGCCTCAACCCCAGAAGAGGGACCAAATCCGATTTATATTCATGAAGCTTGGGTTATGTGCTCCTCTGTGAAAATACAGGAGGAAACTTTTGTGACAGCGGGTTAAGCTTAGTTTCTTAAATAAGATATCCCCCTCTCAAACCCCTACACATGATGCTCAAAAGAAAAACTGAGCAAATTAGAGCATTTGAGCTTCTCTTTATTCTACTTTACATCCATGTAGTATTTGACATTGAGGACAATTCCTACTTTGTTGTAACTTTCTCTTCTTAACCAGTTCAATTTAAGTGGAGTTGTTATATATGTATGTATATATGTATATATGCATTTAGGTGCCATACTGTACCGGATACTAGGTAGACATAATAAGACAGAGGTATGTTCCATTTCCAACAACTGGTATAAGTCAATTTTTAAATTTTAGTCATTGTATGGTGCAGCCACTATAGAAAACAGTATAAAGGTTCTTCAAAAACAAAATGAAACTACCTTTTGACTCAGCAATTCCACTTCTGTTATCTATACAAAAAAACCCCAATTTTATTTTTTATTTTTTAATTAATATATTTTATTGATTATGCTAATACAGTTGTCCTACTTTCCCCCTTCCCACCCATCCACCCTGAACACCCCCTCCCACCCACATTCCCCACCTTTAGTTCATGTTCATGTGTCATACTTACAAGTTCTTTAGCTTCTACATTTCCCATACTATTCTTACCCTCCCCCTGTGTATTTTCTACCTACCATCTATGCTACTTATTCTCTGTACCTTCCCCCCCCTCCTCCTTCTCCCCTGTTGCTAACCCTTCATGGGATCTCTATTTCTGTGATTCTGTTTCTATTCTAGTTGTTTGCTTAGTTTATGTTTGTTTTTGTCTTAGGTGTGGCTGTGAATAATTGTAAGTTTGCTGCCATTTTACCGTACATGTTTTTTATCTTCCCTTTCTTAGATAAGTCCCTTTAATATTTCATAAAATAAGGGCTTGGTGATGGTGACCTCCTTGAACTTGACCTTATCTGGGAAGCCCTTCATTCTAAATGAAAGTTTTGTTGGATACAGCAATCTTGGGTGTAGGTCCTTGCCTTTAATGACTTGGAATACTTCTTTCCATCCCCTTGCCTGCAACGTCTCTTTTGAGAAATCAGCTGATAGTCTGATGGGAACTTCTTTGTAGGTAATTCTCTCCTTTTGTCTTGCTGCTTTTAAGATTTTCTCCTTATCTTTCATCTTGGGTAATGTAATTATGATGTGCCTTGGTGTGTTCCTCCTTGGGTCCAACTTCTTTGGGACTCTCTGAGCATTCTGGACTTCCTGGAAGTATATTTTATTTGCCAGACTGGGGAAGTTCTCCTTTATTATTTGTTCCAATAACTTTTCCACTTGTTGCTCTTCCTCTTCTTCTGGTAGCCCTATAATTTGGATGTTGGAATGTTTAAAAATGTCTTGGAGGTTCCTAAGCCTCTCCTCATTTTTTTGAATTCTTGTTTCTTCATTCTTTTCTGTTTGGTTGTTTCTTTCTTCCTTCTGGTTCACACCGTTGATTTGAGTCTCAGTTTCCTTCCCATCACTACTGGTTCCCTGTACATTTTTCTTTATTTCGCTTAGTGTAGCCTTTATTTTTTTATCTAATTTGCAACCAAATTTAACCAATTCTTTCAGCATCCTAATTACCAGTGTTTTGAACCGTGCATCTGATGGGTTGGCCATCGCATCATCACTTAGTTGTATTTTTTTCTTGAGCATTGATCTGTTCTTTTGTTCGGGCCATTTTTTTTGTCTTGATGTACCTGTTATGTAGTGAGGGGCAGAGTCTTAAGTGTTCACCCAGAGAGGGCAACCCAGTTGCTGGGTTCTGATGGTGTATGTGGGGGCGGGGTCTGAGAGGGAGCAATGGTTCTTGCTCTACTCTCTGCCAGATTTCAGTCACCTCCCCTGCTTCCCCCAAGTAAATAGGACCCTTTGGGTGCTGATTTCCACGTGGGTGGGCTTGTGTACATTCTAGGACCCTTGGGTCTCTCCAATGAACTTTCCTCTGAGACTGGGAGTTTCTCCCACTGCTGCCTCAACCGCTGCACCCCCAAAACAATTTTAAAGGACATATACACCCCTATGTCCTTTAAATAATGCTGCTATGTTCATTGCAGCACTATTTACAATAGTCAAGATATGGAAGCAACTCATGTGCTTATCAGTAGACAAGTGGCTAATAAAGTAGTTACCACATTTTCAGACTATAAGACACACCCCCCAAATTTGGGAGGAATAATGGTTGTTAATGCTGTTATTCAGTTCTATTCACACCTACATTGGTGAAATATTATGTTATTTATGTTATTAAATATTTTACCACAGTTTTTGCTTCAAAATTTTTTTTGCCTATTTTCCTCCTCTAAAACCTAGATGTGTCTTATGGTCTGAAAAATAAGGTACATATATATGAAATTTGGTCATGAAAAAAATGAAATCTTATCATTTGTGGCAACATGAGAAGACCTAGAGAGTATCATGCTAAGTTAAATAAGTCATAAAATAAAGACAAATATCATATGATTTCACTTATATGTGGAACCTAAAGAACAAAATAAACTTTCAAACAAAAGAGAAACAGACCCATTAATGCAGAGAACAGAGTAATGATTGCCATAGGGGAGGGGAATTGGGGACTGGGTGAAAGAGGAGAAGGGATTAAGAAGCACAAATTGAATAGACAAAAAACTGTACTTGAAAAATAACTAAATAAAATTTAAAAAAATAAAGGTAATTTTGAGACAAACCTAAAAAAAAAAGAAGCACAAATTGGTAGTTACAAAATAGTCATGGGGCTGTAAAGTACAGCATGGGTAATATAGTTGATATTATTGTAATAACTATGTATGGTACCAGGTGGGTGGGTGCTTGCCATATCAGGTGGATCACTTTGAAAAATATATGATTGTCTAAACACTAACTATGCTGTACACATAAAACTAATATAAAGTGATATTGAATGTAAACTGTAATTGAAAAATAAAAAAGAGCTATTTTAATAGGTGCATCGTTTTCTTAAAATGGTCTTAATTTGCTTTTCCCTAATGACTAATGGTATTAGCCATCATCTTATGCTTATTTGACAACCACATATTATCTTTGTTGATGTGTCTGTCAAATCACTTAACTATTAAAAAAACTGGGTTTTCTTATTGAGCTTTGAGAGTTCTGTATATATTCTGCATATAAGTCTTTTTATCAGATATGTGATTTGAAAATATTTTTCTAAGTCTATTGCTCTTCTTTTCATTTTATAAACAGTGTTTTTGGAAGTTCTGTAGTTTTAGGTTTTCTATTTAGGTCTGCAATTAATTTTTGAATTAATTTTTATATATGGTTATAATCTGTGGATTCAAGTTTACTTTCCCCCCTTTGGCTTTGCATATCTAATTGAAAAGTCTCTCTTTTATCCACTGACTTTCCTTAACAACTTTGTAAAATGTGAATTGTTTACTGTTATGGAATGAATTATATCCCCATGAATTCATGTTATTTGAAGCCCTAACTCCCAGTGTTACACATCACTGTATTTGGAGATAGAGATTTTAAGGAGGTAATTGAGAGACTAAATGAGGTCATAAAAGTGGTGCCTTAATCTGACTGGACCTTTTAAGAAGAGGAAGAAATACTTGAGTTCAAGCTCATGCTTGTGCTCTCTCTCTCTCTCTCCCCCCTGCAGAGGAAAAGACCATGTGAGGACATCACATGAAGACATCTACCAGCCGGAATAAAGTCCTCATGTAAACCAGCTCTGCTGGCTACTTAAAATTAATTAGGTTTCCTTCCTTTGCCATATTGGAGAAGTTCTCCTTTATTATTTGTTCAAATAAGTTTTTCACTTGTGGCTGTTCCTCTTCCCCTTCTGGTACCCCTATAATTCGCTCAGAGAGTCCCAAAGAAGTTGGACTCAAGGAGGAACACACCAAGGCACATCATTATTACATTAGCCAAGATTAAAATGAAGGAGAGAATCCTACAAGCAGCAAGAGATAAGGGGACAGTCACCTACAAAGGAGTTCCCATCAGACTGTCAGCTGATTTCTCAAAAGACAACTTACAGGTAAGAAGGGGCTGGAAAGAAATATTCCAAGTCATGAAATCCAAAGACCTACATCCAAGATTGCTCTATCCAGCAAAGCTTTCATTTAGAATGGAAGGACAGATAAAGTGCTTCTCAGATAAGAACAAATTCAAGAAGTTCATCATCAGCAAGCCCTTATTATATGAAATGTTAAAGGGACTTACCTAAGAAAAAGAAGATCAAAAAGATGAACAGTGAAAGGACAGCAAACTCACAGTTATTAAGAACCACACCTAAAACAAAAGCAAACTAAGAGGACAGCTAGATCAGGAGCAGAACCATAGAAATGAAGATCACATGGAGGGTTAGCAACAGGGGGAGTGGGAGAAGGAGAAGGGGGGATAAGGTACAAAAAATAAGTAGCATAGACAGTAGGTAGAAAATAGATAGGGGGAGGGTAAGAATAGTATGGGAAATATAGAATCTAAAGAACTTGAGACACATGGTCATAAACTAAAGAGGGGGAATGGTGGGGGAGGGGGTGTTCAGGGTGGAGGGAAATGAAGGGGGGAATGGGACAACTGTAATGACATAATCAATAAAATATATTTAAAAAATTAATTAGGTTTCCAGCCTCCAGAACTGTGTGAAAATAAAGGATTGTTGTTTAAACCACCCAGTATGTGGTATCTTATTATTCCAGCCTGAGCTAACTACTGTAGTCAGATGTGTGTAAGTTTATTTCTGCTTCCGCAATAATCTGTTCAGTTTTGATTGTTTATTTGATATTTATAACACACTGTTTTGATGAATGGAACTTTATATTAAGTTTTTAATTTAGGAATTGTAGGTCCTCCAACTTTATTATTCCTTTTCATAGTTGTTTCACTATCCTAGTATTTTGCATTTTTGCATAAATTTTATACTATCTGCCAATTTTAAAAAAAGTGTTTAACTGTGAAGAAGCTTTTACATTTGATGTAGCCCCATTTGTTTATTCTTTTCTTTATGTCCCTTGCTCTAGGGGTCATGTTAGTGAAAATATTGCTGCGTGGAATGTCTGAAATTTTCCTGCCTATGTTCTCCCCTAGGACTTTTATGATGTCATGACTTATATTTAAGTCTTTTATGCAACTTGAGTTTATTTTGTGTATCATATCAGTTGGTATGCTAGTTTCATTTTTTTGCACGTAGCTGTCCAGATCTCCCAGCACCATTTATTGAAGAGGCTGTTTTTACTCCATTTTATGTTCCTGCTCACTTTGTCCAATATTAATTGACCATAAAGACTTGGTTTTATTTCTGGGCTCTCTATTATGTTCCACTGGTCTATATGTTTGTTCCTATTGCTAGTACCAGACTGTTTTGATTAGAATGGCCTTGTAATACAGTTTTATATGAGGTATTATGATCCCTTCTACTTTGTTATTTTTCTCTCAAAATTGCTGAGGCTATTCAGGGTCATTTATGGTTCCATAAACATTTTTGAAATATTTGTTCTATATCTGTGAAATATGTCATTGGTATTTTAATGACATATTGGTATAGACTGCATTGAATCTATAAATTGCTTTGGGTAATAGAAAGGGAACCAACCATATGGGAAAAATATTTGCCAATGATACCTCAGACAAGGGTTTGATCTCCAAAATATATGAAGAAATCATGACTGCACTCTAGGAAGAGAAATAGTCCAATTAAAAAATGGCCAAAGAACCTGAACAGACACTTCACAAAGGAGGACATACAGAGGGCCCACAGGTATATGAAAAGATGCTCAGCATCACTAGCCACCAGAGAAATGTAAAATTAAACCACAGTGAGATACCACTTCACACCAGTCAGAGTGGTCATCATAAACAAGTCAACATGCAACAAGTGCTGACAAGGTTGTGGAGAAAAGGGAACACTAATGGGTTGTTGGTGGGAATGGAGACTGGTACAGCCACTGTGGAAACAGTATGGAATTTCGTCAGATAATTAAAAATGGAACTGCCTTTTGAACCAGCAATTCCACTGCTGGGATTATACCCTAAGAACCCTGAAACATGAGTTGAAAAGAACTTGTGCACCCCCATGTTCACAGCAGCACAATTTACAGTAGCCAAGAGCTGGAAACAGCCTAAGTGCCTATCAATAAATGAAGGGATCAAAAAATTATGGTACATTTACAGGATGAAACACTATGCAGCAGAAAGAAAGAAGGAGCTCCTACCCTTCACAACAGTGTGGCTAGAACTGGAGAGCATTATACTGAGTTAAATAAAGCAGGCAGTGAAAGACAATACCCTAAGATTTCACTTATAAGTGGAACCTAATCAACAAAACAAACAAATGAGCAAAATATAACCAGAGACAAGGAAATAAAGAACAATCTGACGGTGACCAGAGGGTAGCGGGGAGAAGGAGAGTGGGAAAAAAGGCGAATGTGTACAAAGGACCCATGGACAAGGACAACGGGGTAGGGATTGTCTCTGGGAATGGGGTTTGGACAGGGCAGGGGAAAAGAATGGGGGGGGGGGGAATGGGGACAACCGTAACTGAACAACCATTAAAAAGAAGGTACAGAATTTAAGAAATATTAAAAAGTGTTTAATTAAAGAAAATTATTAGGGGATAAAATCTTAACAATAGAAAACAAAACCATATTTAAGGGTGACTAAACAAACAAGTTCAAGGGAAATACTTGAAAATTCTAACTTAGAGACCTTTTTTATGCTTTTAAGATATTGTCAAGGCTATTCCATCAACTGAATTAATTTCTTAAACATTTATTATTAAGAAAAACTATGTTAGACCTCTAAAACTTTAGTAGTAAAATTTTGTGCATTCGGACACAATACCCCCCTTGCATTGAATAAAAAGGTGCCTAAAAAGTCTGCAGAAAAATCTGTCCACATACAGAAAGTAGTCCTTTGTACCTGACTGGGTAAGTCTCATCATTTCGTAATTTGCCAAGAGCATATTTGCTAATAAGAGTCATTTCTCTTCTTCTAGTGGCCCTGTTCAGACTCCATTTATACCTTATCCTTACTTGTGATTATGATATTCCTCTGTGGAAATGTTGGAGTGGATTTTATTATGTTTATTTTGTTTCCTGATGTATTGATAATTTCCTGATGTCATGAACTGAGGCTTAGTTTCTTAAGATATACATAGCAAGTAAATGGGGCAGCTAGTATTCAAATCCAGGTTTGTATAGTAAGCCATTATACTATATTGCTGTTCTTTACATCCAACAAAAATTTTATTGCTTCTCTACCAATGGAATACAAATTCCAAGTATAACTTCTTGGTTGTGATGAATGATTTACACCATTGATTCATGTTCTCTTGCCTAATTTACCTTGTGACAAATTGGACACAGTTTCTATGATTGTGTAATAGAAGAGCGTTAATAGCGTATTAGTTTTCTTGAGCTGCTATAACAAATTACCCACAATCTGGGTGGCTTAAAACAACAGAAACATATTTTCTGACAGTTTAGTAGGCCAGAAGCCCAAAATCAGTTGTCTGTACAATTGGTTTCTTCTAGAAACTCTGGAGGAGAGTCCATTTTACCCCTTTCTCCTAGTTTCTGGTGATTTGGTGATTACTGGCGATCCTTGGCATTCCTAGGTTTATGGACCTATCACTCTGATCTTTGCCTCTGTCTTCACAGTACCTTCTTCTCTGTGTTTCTCCCCTGTGTCTGTATGTCTCAAATCTCTTCTTTCTCTTATAAGGATATCAGTCATTGGATTTAGGGCCTGCCCTAAATCCAGGGGGATCTCATTTCAAGACCCTTAACTTAATTACATCTGCAAAGACCCTTAATCCACAAAAGTTTACATTCTGAGGTTCTGGGTAAAGCAGGAATGTTTTGGGGGGACACCATTCAATCTCTACACAGGCCTGCATGAAAAGAAATGCTCTAACCAGGCTTTCACTAGTGTTTTCCTTTCTCTCTTACACTACTTCTTCTTCAAAAGAAAAGAAGGCCAATTTGATTGGTGACAGTTCAGTGGGATTAATCTGGCTATGTTTGCAGGTGGGCAGGGTAACCGGGCATTAACAGACAATGTGCCACACACTCTCTCTTTTCTTTTACTCTAGGAGGCAGAGTTGCTAGGCTGCCAGAGCCTGCTTCTTCCCTTCTATTTCCACACATAGCAGAGAGTTTTGGTCACTGCCTTGATTTCCTGCAGGCTACAAGGTGAAAGAGCCACAAATTCTGATTTAAACTGAAGGGAAATAGATGCTCCTACTCATGTATGGTATGTGCTGCAACCACTTACCAGAGATTCTTGCTCTGTCTCCAATAATAATTAAGGCGGTAGTTTGGTTTCTTTACTAGTGTACCTTGCATATGTCTCTCTTGAGAATTCCACAGGGAGGAATGGTGAATGACACAGCAGGGTTCAGGCATTTCTAGCAGCCACTTTGCCATAGTACCAACAAATAACCTTTTAAGTTTTCACCTGTTACACCTCGTAACCACTCCCCTTTCCATGGCAATGGGGAGGAAATGCTGTCCTTTCTTCTGAGGAGGTATATGGATGGGCAGGTGCAGTCGTGTGCCATGGAGCAGGTGCAGCCCGGGACATGTGGCCCAAGGACTTGGTTTTGTTGGCATTATTCAGAGACAGCCTACTTACAAATGCACATAAAAATATCACTCCGAATACATTTGGTTTAAAGCAACATATGGGTCTAATTAGATCCCTGTTGTCGAATTCCAGTTTTCCTCTGGGAAGTAGCGAGGACTATTAAGAAAGGGATTAAGACAATTTTTTGAACGGAAAAAAAACCAATCTTATGTTTCTTCATATTATAAGAGGGACTTAAAATTAACAGGAGAGTGCATACCTGCTAACACGATGTTTTGAAGCTAAGGCATACAAAAGAAAACAGGAATTTAGTCTAGAGGGAAAAGAACAAATGTCTGAGATTGTAAATGGAAAAAAGGCCCACAAATATACTTTTTAAGAGAACTTCAGTAAGCATTTTGTTAGAGAACTACAAGTGTAGTAAGGAGAAATATACGTATATTTAGATAAGTGTCTCTCCTTATTAGTATTAATAAAAGGCGTAATTGCTTTGTCTCTAACTCTCCTTTAGAAGTGAACATTGGACCAATGATTGATGGTAGATGTTTACTTTTCTGAAGGCAAGGCATAGATTCACAGATTACCCGAGTTGTCTTTGGTTCTGATTTCTATGTTTTTAGTATAGCAAAGAGTGTTGAAGCATCTGTATAAATATAACAAAAGCAGAGATGGGCACTAAAGGGCCTGTTATATATAGCACAGTAAAAATGGGGGACTCAAGCTTAAAAGTCTATACTTTGAAGTCTATATCTGAAGCCTACAGGATT